GGGGTGTAGCGGGGCGAGGAGGAGCGGAGGGTCTGGGCGGCGCGCGGCCAGCCCGGGGAGGCGTCAGCCTCTGGTCAGCGCTCACCTGCTGCCCTTACACCCTCCGGCTCCTGCGTCGGCTGCCTCTGCTTCCCGGGCCCTCTTGGTCCCCTGCTGCCGGGGGCTGATGTGTCTCACGCATTTTCTGGTCCAGACCTGTGTTTTCTGCCAGACTCAGCTCACTCCACCTGCTAGGAAAGGGCACGTTCGTGAAGCGTGCTGGTGCGGCCAGCATGATGCTCCCCTCTTCGTACGCACGGCTGCTTTTCCTCCCGTTGGCGTTTACTCCCTGAACTTTAGTTTCCTTCTGCCGCAGTAGCTGATTCCAGAAGATTAGCGGCTGCTATTAGTTGCTCTTTCCTCTGCCCTATCTGAACTGTGCCATTTTTTCTGAGAAAGTGTTTCATCCTAGAAATGCCGAATGTCTATAAGAAAAGAAATGCCAGAGTCATCAATGTCGTCTAAATGTCATTTCGAGGAGTGAAAAATAGTCTTTTCGTCTAAGCCTAATGAAATTTGAATGGATTTTAGTCTTAAAATCACTTCGGCATGTTAATGTTGAAAGGTTTATTCAAAAGAAGTATTGTGTTTAGCTAAATGCTCCTTCTCTTCCTGGCCCAGTAGCCTAAGAGTGGAACTCTGATCTTGCATTTCTGACATCTTCTTAAGGCACAGGTAATGTCATAAAACCAATTAAACAACAGGTTCTCTGTCCTAATGGAGTTGTATCAAATGAAAATCACATTAAGTTCAAGACATAAGAGATGGGAGGTAAAACTATTAATGAAATCACAGTATTAAACAAGTGTGGGATTTTTATTACTATTTTCTTGCTTGGCTTGTCAGCGAAGTTACTTAAAAGCCCTGCAATAGACATGAGGTTTGAGGAGAAGGGTGAGTAAGAAATGGCACATGAAGCTATGAAAGGAGATGGCAATGTCAGCAGCTGGCATATGTGGAGTGTGAGCTTAGTGCTTTAAAGCTGCTGTGTGTGTGGTTCGTTTGAGCACACTGCTTAATGATGATCGTGTCCTCTGTATAACAGGATTAGGCATAAAGTTCAGATATAAATTAAATGTTTTTAAAGAAGCCTTTCCCTTCAGGAGAGACGAACCCTTCTTTCTCCTCTTCCCTATGCTGCTGTGGAGCCAGTGGCTTTTAGATGTCCGCACTTGTTTGTTACTGGAATATACTGCCTCCCTTGGGGGCAGACAGTTCCAATTTTTGTCTGCCAAATCAGTGTCTCAGTGTTTTGCCCTTTTTTCATATCTCCTTTTCAACACTTGAATCTCCTTTGTCACTGTAAGCAGCGTGTGAGTAACTAATATGACAGTGAATGGGGACAGGCTAGGGGGTCCTCCCGAATTCCTAGGATAAGCTCTGTCCTGTGACTAGTTCCTGACTCCATACAGGAATAAGTTTCAAATGAAAACCTGTCTGAATCAAATAGGCAGGTGCTATGGCACATTCCTGCCACATCCTTTAATTTCATGTCCCTGTCTTTGGAAGGAATCCAGAGTACTTTGCACATGTTAATGAACTGAGGAGGCTGTCAGTCTGACTCCAAGACGATTTCTTTTCTTCCTTCAGAGTCAAATTATTACCTTCTGGGGGTACCCTAGTGAGGAGTACGAAGTGACCACAGAAGATGGGTATATCCTTTCGGTTAACAGAATTCCTTATGGCAGAAAAGGCCGTGAGAGGAGCAAAGGTAAGATGTATTTCTGCTTGGAAAAATGGAGAATAATGAAAAAGCTCTCTTAGATTTGTAAAATCTTTGCTCCTGTGATAATCCAGAAAAATATTGAAGACTGTAAGACCTATACAGTTAGAATGTTTTATTGGTGAATAGTATGGTGACAATAAGTTACGTACGTGCAGAGTGACTTGACTAAAGGAAAGGAGGAGTTAGAAAGCTGTATTTTCTGGCATTTTCTTTTTGCCACATTAATCCTTAATACAAGCCCTTCATTGTTGTATGATTATTTTTTTTTTGAGGGGGCTTGGATTTTCTAGAAGGTAGAAAATAGGGGTTGAGATCTGGGGGGGGGTGTTTAAGTAATAGATTATCTTAAAAAGAGATTGATTATACCATTGTTGGGTTATCTCAAAGCATATATTTTCAAGTTTTTTGTTATAACAAATAAGTTTGTTAGAAATACCTGACCATTTTCAGAGTAGGGGCAGATTACATGTTCCTTTTGGTGAAATATAACTAAACTACAAGAGTTCCCACTAGAATGTTCACAAAATAATTATTACCTGTTTTCTGCTGTGGTGGTTTAGGCCCAGCCAGCAACTAGGTACCACACAGCCACTTGCTTACTTCTCCCCCAGTGGAGTGGAGAGGAGAAAATCTGTGGGTTGAGACAAGGACAGGGAGGGATCACTCGCCAGTTATGGTCATGGGCAAAACAGACTGGACTTGGAGAAGAAAAATCAATTTTAATTAGTTACCAATCAAATCAGATTAAGATAATGAGAAATAAACCCAGATCTTAAAAACCCTTTCTCCCCACCCCTCTCTTCTTCCCAGGTTCAGCTTTGCTCCCCATTTCTCTACTTCCTGCATTCCAAGTAACTCAAGGAGTAGGGGTTGTGGTCAGTTCATCACACATTGTCTCTGCTGCTCCTTCCTTCTCAGGCGAGCACTACTCACACTCTTCCTTGCTCCAGCGTGGGGTCCCTCCCACGGGAGACAGTTCTCCATGAACTTCTCAATACGAGTCCTTCCCACAGGCTGCAATTCTTCACAACTGCTCCAGCGTGGGGTCCCTCCCACGGGAGACAGTTCTCCATGAACTTCTCAATACGAGTCCTTCCCACAGGCTGCAATTCTTCACAACTGCTCCAGCGTGGGGTCCCTCCCACGGGAGACAGTTCTCCATGAACTTCTCAATACGAGTCCTTCCCACAGGCTGCAATTCTTCACAACTGCTCCAGCGTGGGGTCCCTCCCACGGGAGACAGTTCTCCATGAACTTCTCAATACGAGTCCTTCCCACAGGCTGCAATTCTTCACAACTGCTCCAGCGTGGGGTCCCTCCCACGGGAGACAGTTCTCCATGAACTTCTCAATACGAGTCCTTCCCACAGGCTGCAATTCTTCACAACTGCTCCAGCGTGGGGTCCCTCCCACGGGAGACAGTTCTCCATGAACTTCTCAATACGAGTCCTTCCCACAGGCTGCAATTCTTCACAACTGCTCCAGCGTGGGGTCCCTCCCACGGGAGACAGTTCTCCATGAACTTCTCAATACGAGTCCTTCCCACAGGCTGCAATTCTTCACAACTGCTCCAGCGTGGGTCTCTCCCACAGGGGGCAGTCTTTCAGAAGCAGCCTGCTCCAGCACGGCTTTCCCACAGAGTGATGGGCTTCTTCAGGCACAGCCACCTGCTCGCTCTCGCATGGGGTCCTCCCTGGGCTGTCTTTGCTCCCCCATGACCCCACCCTCCATGGCTGTAGGGTCACAGCCTGCCCTCTCACCACAGGCTGCTGAGGAACCTCTGCTCTGGGTACCTCCTCTCCACCTTTCTGCACTGACCTGGGTGTCTGCCTGGTTATTTCTCTCACATCCCACTCCTCTTTCCACTGCAAGTTCCCTAGCAGTTTCCCTCCACCCCCCTTCTTAAATATGTTAACAAAGAGATGCTACCACCATCGCTGATGGTCTCAGCTGTGGACAGAGGTGGATCCGACTTGGAGAAAATCCCTTCAGAACATCAGGAGTACAGTACATTAAAAATATATTGCAAATCAGCCAGACCAGGTTGTATTATGGGTGAGATTTGATGGGGGGCTGGGAGGAGCATTGGCGTGTGCCGCCACAGCACTGTTACAAGCTCTAAGAATTACTGTGAAAGCTGGTGTAAAACTGTGGAAGGGATGCAGGGGGTGTACAAAGGAGGAGGTGGGGGAGAAGTGTAGGGGGAATGTAAGCTGAGGCTTAAGGCAGCAATACAGACAGAGGTTTTTGCAAGGACTGGATGATGGGATGCTTTAAAAACAAGACAAGTGTGTGGAAGAGGAGAGGCACATAGCCTTTGACTTGCTATGCTTGTACACTGCATGCAGAAATAACTAGCAGTGGGTATAACTTGGTATCAGTTATGTTGCCAGCCCTTACAAAAATATCCTACAGACAATTGCATGCATACAACAGCAGCATGTTTGCATAGAAACTGTACTTATTCTAAGGACTGCCTCAGAACTCTTTTGACTGAAAAAGCTTCAGATGAGAGGTAAAAACATGGAACTCGCAAAAGAAATTAGTCATTCTCCTATAGCCTTGGGTGTGAACAAGACCTGTGGAAAAACCCTCCCTTCTGCCTAGGGCCGAGCAACAGTGTTCCTGACCTTATCTGTTTGTTTTGTATGAGTTAGGATGTTTGCACTGCCTGCTGCCTCTCACAAGGTGGGTGTGTAAAGATCAGTGCACGGACAAGGCCAGTCAAACCTGGCAGGTGTCTTTGTACTTAAGAATTTTGGAGAATCCCACAGGAAGAAGAGAGGCTGCCTTTGTACCTGTTGATTTTTGTTGAATGCTTCATCCATGACGTAAGCAAACAGAAGTTTCCTGACCTGTGGGAATTCTCCACATTCCCCTTGCCACACCCTCACCCCAAGTTCATGTTTTGCAAAGGGCTTTAATTTTAAAAACAGGGATTACTGAGCACATTTGGGGAAGTATGATCTCCTAGAAGAATGAAGAATTCAAAGTTCATGTTGATCTTAAGTTTTTATAGACTTGGTATCTTTTCTCAGAAAGATACCAATGATGTGCTACTGCTGACTTGGCGTATATACGCCATAATTCTGTTGCAATACCTGCATAATGTGAATAGGATTCCTTGGAGTTAGGTGTCACATGATGTTTTGAAGCAAAACCTATGGTTCTTCAGTTTAAAAAAAGGGAGGGGGGGGAAGGAATATCCGGAGAACCTGAAAGCAAAACATTAATGATTTTTGGTTTTAGTGTTAACTAAAAATGTAAAGCAACCTTGCATAGCAAGGGTAAGAAAGGCATGGAAATAAGTCCCTCTTCAACTGGGGGTGGGGGAGTGGGGTAGGATGTGAATTGGAGGGCAGTGAGGGAAAAATGTTCTATAGCAGAAAGGCTATAAGGCTTTAAGGCCCTAATTTTTATTTCCCCTCTGTGTTTTTTAAGATCAGAGGTAATACAAAATTATTATTGTCCAAGTCAGTTTGTCACATGATTGTGCAATTCACATTCAGATCTGGTGACTGCTTGGTGAATTGAAAAAATCAGAATTAAAGCATTAAAGTGGTTAAACAGTTTTCCCCTTCGCGTGTTAGGAAACATGTGAGTAGCAGCTTGAGGAGAGCCTGTTCTTCAAAAAAGCATAAAGTTGGTTGATCTGTATTTATTAAAATGTAAGAAGGTATCAAAGCTAAAAGGGAGCATTACTGAAAACAAATTTCATGTTAGGCTTGAAAATCCTGCACACTGTTCATATGTCAATGAAGTATTACTGCAGTGGAGTAAACAGTAGTGTGGGACTGTACTGTCTCCGGTGCCAGTTTGGCACTGCTGGAGGTTTCCTCTGGTTGCATGGAGAATACATTTCCTTAACAAAATGGGAAAAGCAGGCACTGACAAGGTTCTTCATCACAGGTATAAATAGGCTGCCAGAAGGGAGGACTATTGCTAATTAGGATTTTGGAACCCACAGCAAATGTTTATGGACGTGACCTGGAATGGAGAGTGTAGGTGACCAAACTGGTGTGATTTGGCTGTTTCTGCTGAAAGATCCAAGTCTAAATTATCAATGGAGATAGTATTGCATGAGTTCAGTATATTGTAGTCGAATTATGTGTCATTAGAGGAAGTAAATTCCTGTGTAATCTTTAGCATTGAGCTAAAGTTTCCATGTTATCAGGTTTCAGTTATTAAAGCAGGAAAAAAAAAAAAGTCACCTGTGCTACTGCAAGATCCAGAGACAGGTCTTTGGATTTTCTGAAATTTATGTTTCTTCTAAAGAATTACATGTTACTCTCCTCTCCTCCCCTCCCCGAAAACTTCAATTTTTTAAATATATATTATAATATATATTATATTCCACATAAAGGCATCATTCCTTTTTCAGGATGGGGAAGTCAGGCTTCCTAAATTCCACCTGGGTCTTGGCTGTGGTTCTTTGAACTACTTAAGCTAAGGGGAGAAAGTCTTTAGAGACATAGATTCTCTTGGTGGCGATCAGTACTGCTCTTCAGGTTCTGCTGCAGCTTTGGTAATGGAAGGGAGTTGCATAGAGATAGTATCAGTACCAGTTGCAGAGATTTCCACAGCTCAGCACCCTGGTTGGGCATTGTCTTAGCTGGAAAACAAAACTCTCAGTAGCACATATGTGGGAATCTCTTCCCCGAGTTTAGGGGAGGGCAGGGGTCATAAGTAGTTTAGCTGTCTCTGTGTTTGGACCACTTTGCTGAGTGTTTGTGAGCATGGAACAGTTCTAAGGGCTAAGGGATCCTTGTATTTTTCTTGTAGCTCCGGCTTTTCCCATGTTTGCTGATTGCACATTTGCTGTCTGTTTTGAACTTCAAGGAGTCTCAGTATAGTTAGGAGACTAACAAGTTGCTTGTTTAAAATTCTTAATGATTAAAATTAATCTTTTTGTGAAAACACACAATTTCATGGCACTATTATGCAAATTGTTAATCTTGGTAGGTTAAATCACGTAGATTAAATATTCAAAGTGCAAATCTCAAGCAGACTTTCAATAACTCACTTGAATTATTCTTAGGCGTTCAGTTGCAGATGAACAAGAAGCTATGAAAATGCTTTATTTACAGGTCCAAGACCTGCTGTGTTTCTGCAGCATGGTTTGCTTGCCGATGCCAGCAATTGGATCACAAACTTGGATTACAACAGCCTTGGCTTTATGCTGGCAGACGCTGGCTATGACGTATGGCTGGGAAACAGCAGAGGGAACACCTGGTCCAGGAAACATACGCACTTCTCAGTGAAGCAAGAAGAATTCTGGGTTTTCAGGTATCCTCGTCTTACTAGGGAAACCAGAGAATCTACACGTGCTGTTTGCGAGCAGGCTTCTCTTCCTCTCTTTGCCCATCATCTCAGTTCAGTTACATTGTGAATGTACGAGACTTTTTGGTTTTTTGGTTATGTGTGCTGTCACGTATGTATGGGCAGTAAAGGGGAGTTTTATGGTCAGTGTACTGTCCTGAGACAGCCTTCATAGGTGGTCAGTAGAATAGTAATTGCATTCACTGGTGTGTGGTGTGAAGGCTCGATCACCAGTGATCTGCTTCAACCAAAGGAAACTTTCTTTATGTCCAAACAGTTGACCTGCAGTGCAGCAAAGGTCTGTGCAGCTGTTCCGTGCTGATAACTTCACTTACACAACTGAATTTTATCTTTGCTTTGTAGCTTTGATGAAATGGCCAAGTATGACATTCCAGCCTCAGTGGACTTTATTTTGAAGAAAACTGGCCAGGAACAAGTGTTTTACGTTGGCCATTCACAGGGCACCACAATGGGTATGTGAAGAGATGCATTTGTCAGAATATATTGTGTTTGAAATGCTATGAAGTTCCACTTATGTGGTTTAATGATGAAAAATTTAGGGCTTCTGAAATCTACTGCTTCTAGTTTTTAGCTGCTTCATGGAATATTCATCAATATTAAAATGAAAAGACTTAACCTTTCCGTGTTTACTGTGTTGGGAAGCTGTTGAAATGATAAAGTGAAGTCACAGGTAGCCCCCAGTACAGTTTCTATTAGAACAAATGGATGAACTATGCGTAATAAAATTTAAGTCATCGGACGTGTAGAATAGAGAGTCCCATTTCCAGAATATTTTTCTGTATGTAAGGCCTGGCTCAGGTGCTTTAAAACCTGCAGGTAGAAAGAGCTAGTAGGGTGTTGAGTTAGCATGAACTTGTTTTTCAGAAGAAAACAAATCCTTCTGATTTCCCTCATTTAATTTGTGTTCTGTAGTAACTAGATTAATTTATAATGTCTAAATGGATCCTAGTTACAACAATCAGAACTATTAATCTAAAATACTTCTGTACTCTTTATCTTAGATTTTATAGTATCACTGCCAGGTAAAATTCTCATCTAACTTGTGTCAGTGAGTTTTGTTAATTATTCTCATGTTATTTACAGCTTTCGTTGCTTTTTCAACTTTGCCACAGCTGGCTAAGAAAATCAAAATGTTCTTTGCCTTGGCACCAGTAGCTACAGTCAAGTTTGCCACTAGCCCTTTGGCAAAACTGGGAGTGTTTCCTGACCTGCTGCTCAAGGTTTGTACTTGAGTGTATGTTTTAAGCTAAGTGAAGTGTCCCCCTTTCTAGTTGAAAACAGCATAGTAAAGAATGTTAATAGCTGTAGATTGGAGAGTAACATGTTCAGCAAGAATACTGGGCCAGGTTTTCTGTAATAATGCTATGGAAGTCAGCAGTGGCTTCTCTGGCTTTATTACTGTCTAATGAGGCAATTTGCATCAGTAAAGTAGTATTTTACAATTACAACTTAATAGATGGAATGAAATTATGGTTTTCCATTTACATGTTTCTAGAAGTTAAGCTACAGAAATCACATGATTAATTAAATCGTTGGTCTGGTTTAGAAGAGTCATATGAGAGCTTTATACTGAATGCTTCCGAATTGTCATGAACTTTAACAGATTTGTTTCACAATTAACCATTTAGTATTGGAAGAGGGTGAGTATCACTTCAGAGGGTGATTAAGAGCAGCAGCTTTATTTAGATGCCATGAATCATCCTCTGTACGAGTTTACCTTTCCCCATTAACATCAAAGGGAGCGTAGGCAGACTGGCAGGCTGCAGTAAGTGCCTGAAGTCAGACATTGTGAACACCCTGCTGTGTGTCATTTTTAACTGCCACTTTTCTTTCCACCACCCATGGAGATTCCCACATACAGCTGTTTGTTCTTGCCTGAAGTCAGACATTGTGAACACCCTGCTGTGTGTTATTTTTCCCCGCCACTTTTCTTTCCACCACCCATGGAGATTCCCACATATTCCCACCCATGGAGATTCACAGTTTGTTCTGTGAGATAAACCCTTCTCTAATGTACCTTGTACAGATTTAACAGAGTGTCTGTTTGCATTATTAGTTCCCTGCTCCAAAGACAGTTAACGTAAAAGTGATACTAACAGTTGTGATCTCCTGTTCCTCACATGGTGAACCTTGTCGAATGAGAACAGTAGCTGATCAGTGCCCTGTGCATATGTTCATGTTGTGCTGAGGAACTTGGTTCTCATGGTGACTTGCAAAACGCTGAAGAGCAGAAGTACATGACAGCAACAAGCCCATGGGTCAGGCGTATCTTAAAGAGCTCTGTCACTTTTAAGGAAGTTCTCAGTGGGCCACATTCAAATCCATAGACATTTTAAAAATACCCATCAGGAGGAAGTGGCCACCATGGCTCATGCAACTTGTTTTTCTTACATGGTTTGAACAGAGGAAGTAGCAAGCACCAGGTCATTAAACATTAGCAGATGTATCTTAGCATATGCTAGCCTTAAGCAGTTCTGATGACAAGAAGTTGTACAATATTCCTGTAAAATACTGAATTCAAAGTTGGTTTGAATTTGAGGTTAGGTTTGGAATTCTTGAAAGATTGTCCCAGTTCCAATGTACATTTTGGGGGTAATGGACTGCATCATTTGTAGCAGAAGTACTAACTGTGACCTCCCTATTGGACTGTGAACAAGGTCTATAAGGAGATAGAGCAGTTTTACGTGACACACCTGTCACCAGTGCAAATGGAAATATATACCTCAAGACTGTTGTAGCATAAAAACTAAACCCAGGTTGTTCTGTGCAATTAAATGTTTGTCCTTTGTGTTTGTTATTTTGTAGGACATGTTTGGAAAGAAACAATTCCTCCCTCAGAATTTTTTGCTGAAGTGGCTTGCTACCCATGTTTGCACCCACAGAATACTCGATGACCTTTGTGGCAACATATTTTTTCTTCTGTGCGGTTTTAATGAGAGGAACTTGAATATGGTGTGTTCTAGTGACTTAATAGCCAAGTTATTGTGAAGTCTAACACAGTATTGACTGTGTGTCACTGTACTGATTATCCTTTACATGTAATTGGAAAATCCCAAATGCCGCCTTCATCATACAGAGTTTGGATTAATATCTTTCCTTGGTATACATTAGTTGCCCAGTTTGGATGGATAGAATTAACCTTTTAAAATGTTAGTGGAAAGCTAAAATACATTATTTTAGATCTGTTGGGGAAGTAGGTAAGAGAAGTGAATTAATATGTTGCAAGTATTTAATTCCTTTTGCAAGGAAGTGAGGAATAAAGATACATTTTTTTTTTTAACCATTTCCAAGAGAACTGATGACGTTTTCTGGTCTCTTGGTTGACACATTCAATTATTTTCTCTGGGACCAATTTCTGACCCTGCTGGTGGCTTCATCTGTGGTCCTAGTTCCAAAGGACTTGTTTATAGGACTTGTTTATAGAACTTGTTTTGCTTTCGAAAAGCTAGTTAGCAGCAACTGGTGTGAGACTTCCTTTTTTCATAATGCTTCTTCAGATGTTTCTAACTCACTGAAATCGGTAGAAGCTGGTATCAGTTTAGCCACAGCTGGACGAAGGCTGAGACTTTTTTATTGGAGTGAGATAGAATTCGCCTTTTTTTTTCTTCACCATTCTGTGTGCAAAAATGTACATTTTTTGTACTTTATACCAAGATGAAAGTCCATTTTTTTCATGTTTTCTTGCCCAGTCCATACCGTTTTCATTATTTTAATGGTGAATAATATTTGTTTCTGCCAGGATTTAAGATTCCCCTGGGTATTTTGTCCTTCAGACTCAAAAAGTATGAAGTTCTGAATCACTTTGGACTGACAGCTACTAGTTTTGATGTAGAATAATGCAGGGTTTCTTTGGAGGTCCATCTAAATATTAGTTAATGTGCTACTAATTCTTACAGTACCAGCAATTTTTAAAACATATTCTGAATATATAAAAAAGGCTGAAGAGATATCATTATTAGGTTTAAAGTTCTGTTGTTAATTGTAATTGATCTCCCAAACATTTAAACCTTTTACCTCATATGTAGTTCCAAATAACTTCGTTTATAGCAGTTTTAAGAGGAATGGAAAATTTTCTGTTAGCTGTTCAAGAAGCAATAATGGGTAGAACTGTTGCGCTATGAGGAGTAAACCGTATTAATTACCTTGTTGCAGAGCCGAGTGGACGTGTATTCAACACACTGCCCTGCTGGGACATCTGTACAAAACATGATCCACTGGAGCCAGGTAGAGTTTCCAGAATTTAAAATGTCCATGACTCTAGCTTGTTTGTGAAATATTGATGTCTCTGTTATTTAAATGGAATAAAATGCTGAAATATACATGTGGCATAGCCCAAGTGAAATTTTGGAACTGCCAATTTTCAGAACGGCAGCTGTTCACTGCAGCTGCTTTGATGATACTGACTTGCAGGGGAGAGGGTTGAGCCACCATTTCTTTGAAGATGGACTAACTGTAAGTACTTTAAGCTAACAAACAATACAGCAGAGTAATTTAACTCAGAGAAATGCTCTAAGAAGTATTTGCTCCCCTTTCAGCAAATATGATGTTGATTACAAGTTATATTTTTAGCCAGTGAAAAGCAGCAGGCTTTCTATTCTATTCTGTTTGGCTTCATTTTATATTTTATTAGTATATTTTGAGTTTCACCTCAATGCAAAATTTCATGCCTGTGATGCTCTTGTGCCTTAATCTTGCTCAGCAGGCTGGCAGATCAGAGAAGACATTTGTTGTAGAAGCAGTGGTCAGTGCTACTTGTGATCCTGTAGCTGGACTTGATCTCTCTTCAGAAGCAATGTGTTGTGCTGCACATAGCTATCCAAGTGTTGGCCCGGAAGGAAATTTGTGAAGGGTTTTTGTTGTTTGGGTTTTTTTTTTGTTCCCTCAGATCGCTGTTGTACAGACTTCTGTTTCTGAAAAATAATAGGTGATAAATCATACAGAGTAGACCTTCTAAGAAAGCTCCATGCTGTGTTCACAGACATTTAGACAGCAAGGTAGATATTTCAGAAGTAAGCATGGAGCTGCCACGTCCTGGCTTTGGATACACTAAACTGTTTTCCTTGATCTTTCCTACCGTTGCTATGAGAGTGTGAAATCTTAAGGGAAAAAATCTAATGGTATTGAATGTTAATGTTTCCCGTTCCTGTGACACTGGGCAAAGCAGTGGCACTTGTCCTTGTTAATACTTGGCATTTCACTGTTTCTTACGTCAGTTGCCTTTGCCAATTGTACAGATGACCAATACTTTTTTGTTCCTGCAGTAGAAGTGTTGCACTCTTTGTGTAAGTGAATTTTTGTTTATTTCTAGGCTGTGAAGACTGGGGAGCTCAAAGCTTATGACTGGGGAAGCAAGGCTGCAAATATGGCTCACTACAACCAGGTAGGCATATTTTATGGATATGTTACAATTCCTGACTGTCACTGACAAAGTTCTTGGATGCTTCTCTGGGTGCTGTGATTATGCTGCATGCTAAACAGCCACTAATGTTACCTAGTAACCAGACTGAGATCTGCCTTTTTGGGGAAAAAAAAACCCAAAACCAAATCAAAACCCCCCAAAAAACAGGTGTACAAAGCTCTGAGGTGGTGCTAAGTCAGTATGGAGCCCATTCTTGGATACGAAGTTGTGATGACGCATTTTTTCTTGAGGGTGGTCCTGCCCCCCTCCTCCGATTCATGAGATACCACTGCACTTCTCACAGTAAGGCATACACTGTCAATTCAGGTGTATTGCATGTTTGCTTGTAAATTGCTGTGTGCAGTACTTAAAATATTTTGTCCCTTGTCACTGCAGTGACTGGGAAATATTGCAATATCATACTTTCAGAGTAGCAATCACATCTTGTGATTAGGATTTAGAAATAGCTGAGGGATACAATCTCCAAGACTTCTGTTACTCTGCTGTCTTGTAAATTCTCAAGTGCTATAATATTTCAGGACTCTAGGAGTTAAATTTTCTGTTGAGTCAGGACTCCATCGCTAGCCGCCCAAGAGAGGAAGAGAAAATGAGAATCTGGCGCATTGTTCTTGCATTTGCTAGTATGTTACACTGCGGTGTATTGTCACACTGAAGACTTGTTCTTTCTAACGCCTTTGTTTTCGCTTTCCCTCTCCTCAGTCTACTCCCCCTTTCTACAAAATAAAAGAGATGACTGTACCAACTGCCGTGTGGACTGGTGGACATGACTGGCTGGCAGACCCGAAGGATGTTGCTATGCTGCTCACTCAGATCACAAACTTGGTTTACCACAAAAACATTCCAGAGTGGGAACATTTGGATTTCATCTGGGGCCTTGATGCACCTTATCGCATGTATAATGAAATAATTAACATGATTAGGATGTATCTCTAAACCTGCATGGTAATTCACAGTATTAGTTCATCAGGAATTCATCTTTTTGGCACATACACTTTTCTGGCAGTGATGCTACATTGTTTATTTATGATGCATTTTTAAAATGCCAGCAATGATGAATGAATTGGATTCATATTTGGTTTGTTTTTCTCAGCATTATTTCTCTCTCCTGTAGAAATCCTTGTTGTATCCTGCAGATTTTGCACACAGTGGCATGGTACTCAGAAAACAGCAGTGTGATTTTGCACAAAAGGAGTACATCATGTGCGTATAAATTTAGTGACTTGTCTGAAAGACAAGTTAGTCCATTCAGCACCTCAGGTGCTGGACAATTAAAACAATAGGTATTTCACTGTGCATAAACCACTGTCATTTCTCAGTACGTTGCCATTTCTGAGTACCTTTCAGAAGTACTCCTTGTACTGCAGTGATGCATTTGGTGCTGGTACTTTAAAAAGCACTTAGTGACTTTTTGCTGCGTTAGTAGCCATCCTAGCCACATCAAATGACTTTCACTATTGCCCAGAAGAACTGTCACGAAGACAGAGAAGATCACCACTGTCAGTTGAAATCTCCTATTTTGGGACTGATTCATTGCTGCATTTTTCTTGACTTAATAGCGTCCCTGAAACCTTTTGTGTTTCACGTACCAGCTATGGATAAGGATCGTTATTTGCCCTTGCAGATTCCTGGAACACGAGAAGCGGTTAAAAGCAATACTGCTTTCCATTAGCTTTATTGTTAGGTTATGGTTTTTAAGGAGAATGATACAACATACTTGTGCTTTGTTTTCTTTGCACTGACCACTAGAAAACAAACTCCCGCAGCATACTACTGGTAAGGGAAGAGTCAAAGTATTAATTATATAGCTTGAGTGACTTAATTTGCATGGACTCCTTGTCTTAATCAGCTGCTGCTTTGAAGACCTGTTTACTTTTTCGCTGCTTACATGGTGCTTGCCATCATTGAGTTCAGGAACTGTACAACACCCTGGCGAAGCCTGGCAGTATTAACAGCCGTTTCCATTTGTCTCAGTTTCCAGTTTAAAAAGGGGGCTAAGCCCCCATTTAATGGGGGGAGAGGATTCACATCTGCTTCGGGGGTCTGACTTTGGAGCTGTAACTGTTTGTGGTATAGGTGCCTTGCTCTTTCCATTGACTGTGCAGAGGCCTTTGGTTCCTCTGAATTGCACAAAAGCTCCATGCCAAATGTAGATGTATGAACAATCTCCAGAGTTAATTGCCTCACTCCAGATGATAATTTCTGTGCCATGGTTGGAGTTTGACCCAGATCTCTGTCATTTACCCCAATAACAAAAAAAGCATTTTCTACATGGCGTAGAAAATAATGCATTTTAAACTGAGACAGAGGGTTATGTTGTTTTTTTTTAAATATGCAAAAAGATGCAAAAACCGTAAATTTGTTTTTTGTTTATTCCTAATTCAGACTCAGGGAATCCTCAGGCTTTGTTTAAGGAAAAAGTGCTTCATGATGTGATTCCTAGCAGGGCCTCTAAGTTTGCTTTATATGTGTAGCAGCCATATTCACTTCACCTTGCTCTGCTGAAAGGAAGTTTCTGTAGGAATCTAAAGTGGCTGATTTAGCAGGTGTGAGGGTATGGGATCCAGCAAGAGCCATGTGGGTCGTGTTTATTGAACTTGACATATTTCAATAAAAGTGAGGCCTGCTTGGAGTTTTGAATGATGTGTTCTGTTTCACTTGTTGTGGCATAAATATATGTGAATCCTTTGGACACAGAATCCAGAGCCGTCTGTTTTTCATAACGATTCGTTCATAGAACAAGTACAATGCAAAAGTAAAATAGCCAAGTAAGCTTCCATTTTACTTTTGTCCTGAATGAATTTTTTTCTAAGCCTAAAAGGCCATTCATTTTATTTCATGGGACTTCTCTGAGACATTAAACTAAGGTACCAATTGTAAATAACTGCTGACAAGACAGAGCAATTTTCTAAGCCTCCAGGTGAGGCTCCTTTCAAACCACAGACATGGTAGAAAGCTTCTTGTATCACATTCTTAAACCTTGAGTAATTGGATTGCTTAATGGACCGTCTGGTAATCTCATAAATAGCATTTAACCACAGAGTGGGGCAGGGAACTCGTCTCTGCCGTGGCACGTGGATGTGATCGCTCATCTTTTGACCTTTGTCATCTTCAATAATAAATATGCCTAGGCTGTACGTTTCCATACAGTCTGAATTCAGTAGGTGTGCAGTCAAGATAGCACGGGGTATTAAATCCTGTGTGTTTGCCAGCTTTGTCAGCTGATGAACCCCCTGTGTGCCTAGAGATAAAGCCTGAACAGTGAAAGCTTTACACAAAACCATTATGCAGCTTCTCTGCTTCAGTGGAGCAGGGATGGCTATGGGAATTGTGAGCAGCTGTGCTCTGCCTGGCTTGCTAAATTTACAAAGCACTGTGTGAGACAAACTTGGAGGAGTGTCAGTGGAAGCAAAATAAGACACCCTGAACACGGATAAGGGTAAGAAGCTTGGTCTAATAAGAATGAGCAGTGATGGCTGGTACATTTTTCAAAGCAGATCTTACATACTTAGTGACTATTGTATAGACACCTTTGTGTTGTAGGTGTATATATGTATATATATAATGCTAAAGGTTGGCTGGACTTCAGCTTTGGATAATAAAGCATAGTAGCATAACAGGGTGTGTTGGACACCTTCTGCTGTCTCAGCATTTAGGGATGTGATCAAAAGGCTAGAAAGCCAGAAGAAAGTAGTCCCCATTCAGCTGATGGATTGCCAGACTTGCAGCCCTGCATGCATCTTAAGTGAAGGCACAGTCCCGGGCTTTGACTTAGAGATCTATGACAGTTGGGTACCCGAGGGCTTACACACACAAAAGGACATGTGTTTGTGAACTTAAAAAGGATTTTTTTTAGCCATCGGCAAAGACATTCAGACTGTTCATCTCATGCAAAAGGCCTAAAGATAGTAGAGTGCATGTATGTTAATGGTGCATACTGAATGATGTACTAGCTCAAGGTAGAGCATTTTTACACTATTTAGTGATTCTGTAGGTAATGATCATGCTGGCAAAAGTTTACACATCAACTCAAACAACACAGAAGTGCCTTAACATAGGAAGTGGTAGTAAAATAGAGCTCCTATTCCCCGGGGGCCTGTAAGAGAAACAGCTTGGGAACAAAATAAACCAGTTTTCTATAAATTACTCCTTATGGCTGTGCTAGTTTAGTTAGTCAGGACAGAGTTAATTTTCTTCACAGTAGCTGGTATGAGGCCTGAGAAGAGTACTGGTAACACCAGTGTTTTTTTAGTTGGTGCTAAAAAGTCCTTGCACCAATTCAAGGACTTTTTACAGCTTCTGATACTGCATCTGTGTTCCCAACTTTCTCGCTACAAGCAGTGGGGGGGACACACTTCAGACAGCTGACCCCAGCCCCCAGCCCCGTGGTCAAGCCAACCCAAACCGACCAAAAGAGTATTTCATTCCATAGCACATCATGCTCAGTATATAAGCCAGGGGCGGGCTGGGGAACCATAATTTATCTTGTTTTTTTGTTAGTTGGTGGATCGGGTGGCTTTCTTGGTTTGTAGTCTCACTCTTGGGCTCACCTGGACTCTGGTGCGATCTCTCTTTCGGGCTCACTCAGACTCCAGTGAAGTTGCTCTTGGGCTCCAGCTCTCAGGCTCTGACTCTCACTGTTCGGGACCCGGCTATGTATTGGTCAGCGGGTGATGAGCTATTGTATCATTTGTGTTATTTTCTATTATTTTAATTACTTAGTAGCATTGTTAATATTATTAGTATCACTATTTTATTCTTTTATAATCAATTATTAAATTATTCTCATCTCAGTCCATGAGCTTCCTTATCTTTTCCTCCAATTCTCCTTCTCCACTGGACTGGGGGGAGGAGGTGAGTGAGTGGCTGAGTGGTACTTAATTGCTAGTTGGGGTAAAACTATAACAATGGTGCACGTGGTGTACAAAAAAAAAAAAAAAAAAGAAACACGAATACCTTAATAGCAGGAGAAGTTACATGTGGCTCTAATCGGTAAGATACAAGAGAGAAACCTTGATGGAGGAATAGGATTTCTGATATACAACAAAACATGGCTCTTGGTGGATGATTTTCCTGTAATGAAAGCATTATAATGTCTTCTCCCTTTCTTTGATGTCTTATAAAATGCAGACTCGTGCTACAGCATTGTCTGTTGTGAGTGTGCTAACAATGGCCGCTCTTCTCTAGTAGCCTATTTCTAAATAACTCTTTCCGACATTGGTACCATGCAGTCAGATTTCATTGAAATCATCAATGAAATAAAAAATTGCAGAGATTGGATGGACAGTAGCTACACCTGTAAGCCCAGTCTGCTTATTGCCCCAGTCTGATTTTCTGAGGATACTGAGCTGAAGAGTGTCTGTATCACATTCTGATACTCCTCCAGAAAACGATGAATGTGTGTAGCTGTGAGGGATGCGAATCAGTTTCTTACTACAGAATTATGAATGAAAGAATTTTAGGATCCTTTTCTGATGGTTATTATTTTGAAAACTGATCCTGATAAGGTAAAGCTTGAGAATTAACAATTTACCGTGCTGGCAGCTTTTCATCCCTAGCCATTGTTGGGGATCCATTGAAAAAACTTTCTTTCCATGTTGGCTGGAGAGGTTTTTCAGTGAAGCTTGGCCGGGGAGGTGGAGTGCTGATATTTTGGTTAAGAAATGTGTTAGTTCTGTTAAGAAAGTTATTTTGTGTTCAGTTTAAAGTTTTTCATGAATACTGAAGAGGGATGTGTTCTTCATCCCAAGTACCCATCACACCTATGGGCTCAAGCTGCCTATCTGGGGTGTGAGGAGTAGAGGGTCATGCCCCTTCTCTGAATTCAGATCCCGGACTTGCACCTCAGTGGACCTAAACATACGGAGGCCATGGGTTGAAAAGATGTGAACGTGCAAAGCTCCCTCCGTCCTCCCCAACCTGTTGCACCCATAGCACTCCTGACAGCCCGACGCCTACCGACTTTTTGTCCCGCTGCAAAACTGTATATTTTATTACCCCTGAAAACTGCAACGAGGTCTGAGACGCGTTTCCCGAGAGCTGTCGGGTCAGCAGAAGGCGAGCGCTCGGGCGGCCGGTTTCCCGGGGCGCGGCGGCGGGCTGTGCCGGTGCCGGGCTGCTG